CAAAAATAAAAAGAGAAAGATGATAGGGCGTATCAGGGGACTAGCGCTGGAGTGAGTAGCGGTCTGACCGAGGTATGGGACGGAGTGACAAGAGCCCCTGCGTCAGGGAAGGCGTCGGTCCCAGCAGCCCTCCCAGCCCTCCCCGACGGAATCGGCGGGCCCGGGGACTGACAACCGAGGAGCCTGGGGGAAACTCGCCTCCCGCCGCCCCACACCTGTGTCCCTTCCACTGCCTCCCCAGGAGCCCCCACCCGAACAGCGCTTTTCAAGCATCAGAAGACCCCCTCCACGCCCCGCCCCGTGGTACTCGCCCCCCACCCTCCCGCACCCTCCACCTCTCGTCCCCTTTCCAATCGTTGCGGGGTCGGAGGGCTCCTGGGATCGCCCCAGACGCCCTCACCCCTCTTCCCTCCGTTGGCCAATAACACCAGGAAGGCAGAGGCGGCGGGGGTCGGACCCAGGGCGATCGTAGAGGATCGTCCCGCTGACGCCCACCCGCCCCTCTGCGCGCGGGGGAAAGGCACTCAGCTGCCACCGCGGTCCCCGCAGGCACCACACACGCGTCCGGAGCAGGCGACCCCCGGGTCGCGGGATGGAGGCCCTGTAACGGGAGCCGGAGCAGCGGAGAACGCGGCGGGCCTCCCCCGGCCGCCCCCTCGGAGCGCCCCCGCAGACATGGCGGAGAGCTGGCTGCGCCTCCCGGGGGCAGGGCCGGTGGAGGAGGCCGGGCCGGAGGGCGGCCTGGAGGAGTCGGACGCCCTGGATGACAGCCTGACCAGCCTGCAGTGGCTGCAGGAATTCTCCATTCTCAACGCCAAGGCCCCCGCCCTGCCTCCGGGGGGCACCGACCCCCACGGCTACCACCAGGTGCCAGGCTCGGCGGCGCCAGGGTCCCCCCTCGCGGCCGACCCCGCCTGCCTGGGGCAGCCGCACACGCCGGGCAAGCCCACGGCGTCGTGCACGCCGCGGAGCGCGCCCCCGGGGCTGCAGGCCCCGCCCCCCGACGACGTGGACTACGCCACCAACCCGCACGTGAAGCCGCCCTACTCGTACGCCACGCTCATCTGCATGGCCATGCAGGCCAGCAAGGCCACCAAGATCACCCTGTCGGCCATCTACAAGTGGATCACCGACAACTTCTGCTACTTCCGCCACGCAGACCCCACCTGGCAGGTAGGGGAGGCGCGGGCGGAGGCGCTGGCTCCCCACGCCGCCCTGGACTCGCATCCCAGGCCCGCGGCCCTGGCTGCAGCCGTCGCCCACGCAGGACCTGGAAGGAGCCCAGTTCTTGGAGCTGCCCCCTCCTTTGACTTCCAGGGGGCGGCGTTGGTGGGGGAGGGGAGAATGTCCAGGGAGCAGGATTGTTGGGGGGGGGGTGTTAATACAGAGGTTGAGGCTCAAGGGGCAGGAGCTTGTCAGCTGTCCAGCAGGCCCAGCCAGCTACCGAGGCTAGACCGAGCCTGGACACAGGCCCCCGGGGCTGGGTGATGGGCTGAGGGCACATTCTTGTCCCAAGTTCTAGAATTCCTAGACACTGCTGTGCGCAGACCGGCTCATAGGGGCCGCCACTCAGAAACGGAAATTGGAGCCCGGCACCCCTGCCAGGCTCTGCATCCCGCCTGTTTGCTGATGGCTTTGGGGGCACAGGGAGGGCCAGCTGTGTCGCAGGGGAGGGGGACTGGGCCTTCCAAAGCCGCTGTCCCAGCCCCCCCTCCAGCTCCAACTCAGTTTCCTGCCTCCTCCCCGCCCTCCCCCCTTTCTCAGCCGACGTCCCAAGGGGGACAATTACCTGAGCCAGGTGCTTTCCACAGGGGCTCTGCCTACCTACTGCCTGCTTGCTCCAAGTCTCCAGAACTGGCGCAGAGCAGCCAAGGGGCCCAGGCCACCATGTAAACACCCCAGCCTTGCTGGGGGCCACTGTCCACCCCCAGCCAGGACCCCTGTCCCCCAGCGTGGTTTGGACAAAACTGAGCCCCCTACAGTCGGCCGAAGCCGGAGGAGGCTGGGTTTGAGGCTGGGTAGGCGTTGCCCCCAGGAGTCCTCAGCTGTCAATCAAGGGCAAGTTGGAGACGGAGGACTTAAGGATGCCCGGGCTGTCACATCCCAGGCCGCTCCAGACGGCTGTGACCTTGGGACTGAGAACCCCACCCCCACCCTACCCACTCCTGGGCTTTGGTAGACGGGTCCCAGGAATGAGCCCTGCGCTCCTGGCTGGGTAATGATCAACCGAGCCTGGGGTGGGAGACGGCGTGGGGGGTGAGGGCCCAGGCCAGCCGCCGGCTCAGCAAACACAGTCACCAGACCCCTGCCCTGCACACACTCACACCCCATCCTGGGCACCCCGCCCCCTCCTCGACCCACACTCACTTCACAGCAGCCAGCCAGGCCCAGGCAGAGGGAGATGGCCATCCAGGCCCTGGGGGAGCTCAGGCCTTGGCCAGAGGCCGCAAGTGGCCGGGTGAGGGAGGGAGGGCCGGCGAGGGGGTGGCAGCTCAGAGCTCGGATGACTGAGTAGGCTGATATCCCGGCAACAGAGAACAAAAGCCCCCGACTCAACCCCAGGCTGCCCGTGCGTCCACGGCCCCCTCCCGCGAGGGGAGCACAGGGAGGGGGCGCCGCAGGGGGGCCCGGGAGCCCTCCCCACTGACCGGCCGTCTCTCTCTTCTCTCCCCGTCCCCAGAACTCGATCCGCCACAACCTGTCTCTGAACAAGTGCTTTATCAAAGTCCCCCGGGAGAAAGACGAGCCGGGCAAGGGGGGCTTCTGGCGCATCGACCCCCAGTACGCCGAGCGGCTGCTGAGCGGCGCCTTCAAGAAGCGGCGGCTGCCCCCGGTCCACATCCACCCGGCCTTCGCCCGCCAGGCCTCGCAGGAGCCCGGCGCCGCCCCCTGGGCCGCGCCGCTGGCCGTGAACACGGAGGCCCAGCAGCTGCTCCGGGAGTTCGAGGAGGCCACGGGGGAGGCGGGCTGGGGCGCGGGCGAGGGCAGGCTCGGGCACAAGCGCAAGCAGCCGCTGCCCAAGCGGGTGGCCAAGGTCCCGCGGGCCCCCAGCACCCTGCTGCTGACCCAGGAGGAGCAGGGCGAGCTGGAACCCCTTAAGGGCAGCTTCGACTGGGAAGCCATCTTCGAGGCGGGCACTCTGGGCGGGGAGCTGGGCACACTGGAGGCCCTGGAGCTGAGCCCGCCACTCAGCCCCGCCTCGCACGGGGACGTGGACCTCACCGTCCACGGCCGCCACATCGACTGCCCCACCCCCTGGGGGCCCCCGGCAGAGCAGGCTGCCAACAGCCTGGACTTCGACGAGACCTTCCTGGCCACGTCCTTCCTGCAGCACCCGTGGGACGAGAGCGGCAGCGGCTGCCTGCCCCCAGAGCCCCTCTTCGAGGCTGGGGACGCCACGCTGGCCGCCGACCTGCAGGACTGGGCCAGTGTGGGCGCCTTCTTGTAAGAGGCCAGGCCCCCTGCCCCGTCTCCGGACAGTGCCCAAGTCAGGGCCCAGAGCCGCCCCCCAGCACAGACCCATGGACGCCACAGTGCCTAGGCAGGGGCTGGGGGGCCGGGGTCTCCCGAGGCTGGCCCTACCACGAGGCCAAACCGCCACCAGCCCGGGCTGCCCTGGGACTCCCGCCCAGGAGGCAGAGAACTGGGGGCCCAGACCTGCCGCCTCCCCTCCCCAGCCCGCTCCGTATACAGTGTTGCTCTGACGGGGGTCTCCCCCCCCCCACCCCGCCCACAACCAGCTGAAGAGGGTCCTGAGCCCTGAGCACTGGGGAGGAACAGAGCGTGGCCCTCCCCAGAGCCTGGGCTGCTGCACCTCTCCAGCTCCCTACTGCTTCCCCAGGTCTCTAGCTGGAGAAGGCTCCCAGGTACAACAGACGCTAATTAGGTGACGGCAAATTAACCCCCCGGAGGCCTCTCCCGGCTGAGCCTCCGGGGCCCCAGGGCAGCCTTGGCTGGGGTGGGGCCGGCAGAGGATGGACTGGGGGACCAGGCGGAGAGGGGGAAGGAGCGCAGGGTGGGACGAGAAGGCTTCTGGGGTCTTCCCTGGTGGGAGGGGTCTTCCCTGGTGGGACCGGACTGGAGGCTGAGAGCAGGGGGGAGTTGGGGGGCGGGGATGGGGTGGGGGCAGGGCAGCTGAGCTGAGCCGGGGCGACAGACTAATGTAGTGAGAGTAGCCCGTAGCGTAACCGTAACCGGGAGGGTCTGGAGCGTGCAGGAGCCACTGGGACCAGAACGGGGAGCCCCACGCCCTGCCTGTGCTTGGGGGGGCGGGTCTCGCTCCACCCCGACCCCCAGACTTTGTCCCACATCCACCCTCCTGCCCCCTGAGGCAATTTAACCTTTTTTTCATGGAAAGTTATTTACGATAATTTTTTTTAAAAAATAAAATTTAAAAATAATTCCAAAAGTGGTTCTGCTCGCAGCTTCCTTTGGGAAATGGCCCAGTTGGGGGGGGTATGGGGGGGCTTGTCTTCACCGCTCAAGCGAGGAAGGTGGGGGACAGTGAGCTGGTGAACTCCCCACGACCTCACTGTCCCCAGGGAGGAGGGGCCGAGAAGGCCTCTTGGGAGGCACCTGCGGTCCAGGCCTTCGCACCCCATCTACGCAATGGGGAGAGCTGCACCCACCACCCCGCGCAACAGAGACAAAGGCAGGGGGTGTAGCCACCCAGAGGGCCTGCCCAGGCTCGCCCACGGCACCGGCTGGCCTGGGACTCTCTCCAGTGCCTCCCCCTGCGGTGCTGTCCTGCAGGGGTGTGGAGTGAGGTCAGAGGGCCCCTGCGTCCCACCCTGGTGTCTGTCGCTTACCAGCCCAAGGCAGGCCTGGGAAGACAAGGCAGGGAGAGGCTGGGGCGGGGGCTCAGAACCGCCTCCCCAACCTGCCCCCCACCTGCAGGTCCGCTCTATGAGGGACCTGGCTAAAGGAGTTCTGGTGGGGAAACCGAGGCACAGGACATGCATGTCTGGTGACACTCATTTCCCTCACCCTGCCTCTGCCTGGCACCCACCCACCCCCGTCCCTGCCCAGCCCCACAGGCACACCTCGCTGGTGCCCAGCCCAGCCCTCGAGCAGCGCCGGCATGTACACACACGCACGCGCAGACGTGGGCACTGTCCCAGCAGTGCTGCCGGCTTCCACGGACCCCGTTCTCCCAGCGCCCTCAAGACTGGCTCCAGGCCAACTTGGCATCCCCCCGCGCTAGCTTGCTGCTTTCACTTGCTAATTATTCCAAATATTCTAGAAGGGCGCACACACTGCCGGCAGGGCGGGGCTGGGGCCCTATGGAGGCCAGAAGCCGGCGGGCAGGGGCTGCCCGAGGCGGAGTGGGACCCCAGGCGTCTCCTCCCCACCCGCCCCCTCTTCCTCTCCACAGACCCCGGCAATGGGGGAGGCACGGACACTGTCCTGCTCCGCCGGTCCCGGGATCTTGTCATGTCCACCCCAGGCCTGTGCTAGAGGGAAGAGGGGCAGGGAGAACTGCCCGCGGGGAGCCCCGCTGCGCCTGGGCGGATCAGAGCGGAATCACTGGGGTGAGGCCCTGGCAGTGGCTTTTTTTTTTTAAAGGTCCCGGAGGCTTTTAACGCGCAGTCAAACCTGAGGGCAGTGGAGGGCCAGAGCCTGGGTCGCCCGCCTGTCTGCTCATCCCTGCCGGGGTGGGGGGAGGGGCAGAGACACGATTATTATTTCTGTAAGTTTTTTAATCACTTTTCCCATTATAGTACATCTTTTTTTTTTTTAGATTTATTTATTTATCTGAAAGTCAGAGTTACACAGAGAGAAACAGAGAGGCAGAGAGAGAGGTCTTCCATCTGTTGGTTCACTCCCCAGTTGGCCACAGGGCCAGAGCTGAGCTAATCCACAGCCAGGAGCCAGGAGCTTCCTCTGGGTCTTCCCATGTGGGTGCAGGGGCCCAAGGTCTTGGGCCATCTTCTCCTGCTTTCCCAGGCCATAGCAGAGAGCTGGATCGGAAGTGGAGCAGCCGGGACTAGAACCAGCGCCCATATGGGATGCCCGCACTGCAGACCCACACTTGTTATTTAAAAGACACGCGCCGCCCTCAGACTTGTGTGCGGACTCAGCACAGTTACAGCCCAGTGTGCTCTGTGCTGACAGGAAGCCGTACCCTGACGCCTCGCTACCACCAAACGGTGCAGCCGTCAGAACCACTCTCCGCACACCGCAGCCAGGGTCACAGGATGAGTGGCTGTCCCTGTGCTCTGAGTTCAAGTTCTCCGAGCAGGCTCCCCACCCTTTCGTTTACCCTACAGCCCCCTTGGGAGGGGCGGCCCCTGAGCCACTTCTCTCTCCAGCACTGGGGTCCTGCAAGGGACCACACTTCTGGGTCCTAACTCCCTGCCGCCCCTGCACACACCAGGACTGTGACGGCGGGAAGGAGGGAGGGGAGAGGAAAGGCCAGAGCTGGGACCTGGGGGGCTGCCCCTCCCCCGCCTGCCAAAGCACATCCCTTCCACCTGCGGGTGTTCCGTGGCCTGGAAGTCCCCTGGGGATCCCCGCCCCCACAGGCCCCCCGCAGAGCAGAGCTAGGTCTGGAGCGGGAATCGCTCCCCCCTCCTACACACACACACCCTGGACCCAGACTGGCCAGGGCAGAGGGGGAGGTGTGCGGGAAGGTGGGAGCCAAAGGCAAACAGGTGTATTTGGACTCCGGCGGGGGGCAAGGGACCGGCCCGTGGGCAGGCCTGGGCCTGCCTGGTGAGGATGTGGGGCACTGGGAACAATGGGCGGGGAGCAGCCCAGGTCCTGCTGACATTCCTGTGTGAGGAGGCGGTGCACCTGGGGCAGGGGAGGGGGCTCTGGGAGGCGGGGCTGTGTTAGCCACTGAGCTGAGAGGCGTGCAGCAGCCCTGGGGGGCCGCCCTCCTCCAGGGACACCTGCGTCCCCTGGCTTGGTGGCTTCCAGGTGAAACAGGTCAGCGCCACCAGGACAGACAGGCGTGCCAAGGCCTGAACTTCCCCTGTGTGCATGAGCGGAGAGCGAGGCCCCCCTGGAAGCTGACCGTGAGAGGTGGGCTGGTGCCCAGAACGGAAGGGGGACAGCAACGCCAACCCCATCCCCCACGCCCGTCTCCTCCTTTGCCCGCCGGCCCCGGGAAGGGTAGGAGGTGGGGGTCCAAGTGCAGACCCTGTCTCCCTCATGAACGAAGCAGCTCCCCTGAGCCCCCAGCAACAGGAAACAGCAGGGGTTGGAAGCTGCAGGTGCGACTCTGCAGCCCCCTCGTCCATCCTCCCACCCGCCCCCCAGACCCAGGGCCCTTTGAAGCCACAGCCACTGCCGGCCACCCTCCCAACTCGCTGTTTGTCCTGGGAATTAAACTGAGGTGTGAGGCTGACCCTGCCCCACCTCCGGCATCAAGCCCCACCCATCCCCACCTGGCACTGAGCTCTGACCACCTGGTAAAACCTGGTGTGGCTGTGAGTAGGGCTTGGGAGGGAGCAGAGGCAGGGTGGGGCGCAGACTGTGGCTGGCGGCAGAGCAGTTGTTGAATCAAAGAACAAAGGAATGAATGAACGAATGAGCTGCTCGGCCCCTCACTGAAGGCGGAGCAGCCAAGCTGCCTTTGAGAGTCAAGGCCAAGGGGGCCTCAGGTCCTGGGCGGGGGCTTTGCTGAAGCCCCTGGAGTCTGGGTGGAGGTTGGGGAGGGGGCACCTCCGGCCCGGGGAGACGGTCAGTGACAGCCCAGGCCGCCCTGTTCTGGAATCCAGGAAGAGGCCCATTGTTGATCCTGTGCACACAGGTGGCTTCCCCATGAGAGGGGACACGTGGCCTTGAATGCCCACTGAGGCTGTGGGGGAGGGGGGAGCCAGGTCAGAAGGCAGGGGAGGGGGCCACCTGGCAGGGGGGCAGGACTTCCTTCTCACCTGCTCCTCCCAGCCCCCAAGTCCCCTGGCACCGGTTCCAGCCTGTCCTGGGAGTAAGGGCCACAGCCAGCCGGCAGGCAGGACTGGAGACCCCCCCCCCAACCACTGTATCACCCCACGCAGACCCCACAGGCTCTGGGAGCTGGCCTGCTACCCCTTTGCACCCTGCAGAGCTCAGCTGTAGTCTCTGGTCCCTGGGGCCACTGAGCCTGGTGCTCCTGGGGCCCCAAGTGCCCAGACCTCACAAGGTCAGAGTCCTGCCCTGTGGGGAAGGCCTGGGAGGAGCCCGAGAGGACTCAAGGTTAACCCAGGCCTTGCGAAGTCGGCCCTGGCATCTGGGGCAGGAGCGGTGCTGCCCCACGAGGGAGGCGAAGTGGGGTGGAAGAGGGCTGAGCAGGGTTCGAGCCCCTGGACTCCCCACAAGTGTGGCTTTAACTGGAAAGAGCGTTTCATGGAGAGGGTCCCAGTGGAAGGGGGCAGAATTGGAGATTGTCTCCAAATGGGTCCAGAGAGGGGGCCACGCCCACCCCGGCCCCCACCCAAACCCTCAAGGTCAAAGGCTCCACCGCCCTCTGGCCCAGGGAAGAATTCGGAAGGAAGAATTCGGAGCAGGACAGGCAGGAGGGGGCAGAACAGCCACTGGGACATGTGGTTCCGCGTGGTGTGGACCCAGGGTGACCAGATACCCATTCTCCGTGGAGGAGGGACGGACCTCTGTGGTCTTGCACAGCCCTGGTTCCCGGCCCTGCACCCACGTCCTGGTGTCACGGAGCAGAGGGCTCCTGGGCCTGACCTTGGACTTGCCCTCCCCGACCCCTCCAGGCCGATGACCTGTGCTGACCACTGACCTCGGGTGGGACTTGGGCAGGGGTCTGTGCCTAAGAGGGAAAGCAAAGGCAGGGTTGACAATGCGGCAGAACCTAGTGCACTCTGGGAAACTTGAGGTCACTCTGGAGGGGCAGGCGCTCACCGGACTCGGGTGTGTGGTAAGGACGTGGAGCCCGCTCGGGGCGGGGGTGGTGTGGCTCTGACAGGTCCTGTGGAGGTCACCCCAGGTTGACGGGGGAGACGCTGACACAGCAAAGACGCTGCGTGGGATGCGTGCGCCCCGATTCCGTGCAGGAAGCAGGTGACGGCCCGAGCCCTCGGGTCCCTGCCACCCACATGGGAGCCCTGGATTGAGTGGAGATAGGCTCTCTCTCTCTCTCTCTCTCTCTCTCTCTCTCTCTCTCCCTCCCTCCCTCCTATCTCTGTACAGAGGAGACATCATGGCAGGTGGATCCAAGAAGCCTGAAGGAGCGCCATCTGGGCTAAGAGGAGTCAAGAGAACGCCAGGGTTAAAACCAGACTCTGCAGGAACCCTCTTGGAGAGGGGCCACAGTAAGGACAGCCGAGCAGAGACCCCCGACAGAGAGGGGGCGGGCGGAGAGCCCCAGCAGTGGGGAGCCTGAGTACAGAGGGGGCAGGGCCTTCCCCTGCACACCTGCGCCCTGCAGGTGCCGCCCACCACCCTGCTGCG